ACAAATGAAAATCGCAGCACGCAGTGTTGCGCGTGTTGCGCAGTCGAACCGCAACAATATTTCGAACATTTGTGAAAGGAATGCAAGAAAAACCTAGACTCGAGTTGCTGGACTCTTTTGACCGTGTGAATCCCAGAGCGAACACCAAGAGAATTTGAAAAGATCAGACTCTTTTTGCATCCCTGTCTTGAAGCGGCCACTAACAGCTCGCTGCCTACCTTTTCTAGCATTCCTTTTCACTTTCAAATCTTTTGAATGGTTGCAAGAGCGCTCGGTTCAAATTGAATGCGATCGGCAAATTTGAGTTCTTTTTGTATGTAATAATGCAAATACGTTATGCATAGAATAATAGAATATTATGCAATTGGTAAATAAGGAGAAAATTAAGATATAGATTATGGAGTAAGAAATTAATGAATTTTTAAATACGGAGTAAAGAAATTATGAGTTTTAATACTTAAAGATAGAAATTCCTATAATAAAATTTGGCCTTGAAAAATATAGCAGCGGAATATTCAATACATTCTTGTGGATTAGGAATTCCCCGTCTTTAGTATTTTTTTGAAACTATTAGGCGGGTAGGTACTTGTATATGCATATTGTTCTACCATATTCATGGTAACATTGCAAGCAAAATGTGTGACCACATCCTCAACATACAAATGAATACGCAGCCAGCAGTGTTGCGCGGTGTGCGGCAGTGCGAACCGCCACAAATATTACGAACATTTTTGTGAAAAGGAATGCAGAAAAACAGACTCGAGTTGCTGGACTCTTTTGGCCCGTGTGAATGCCCAGAGGCGACAACCAAAAGAAATTTGAAAAAAAATGCGATCTTTTGAGTCCGTCTGAAAACGGCACTAAAGAAAAACAGTTGGCTGTTAAGTAAAAGACCAAGAAAAACAAACCGAAAAAAATCACAAGCTGTGCGACGACTACTGCTGCTAAAAGGAGAACGAAAAATGCAAGAAAAATGAACAAATAAACTGTTGTGTTTGATGCTATTTCATAGTTTAAAGCTAGTTTTGCACGTGTGTGTGTGTGGGTTTGCATATGTATTTGTGTCAGCAATGCGAGATGTGGGTGAGTTTCGCTTACAAACAGTTATGACAACAGCTGCTTGAACAAGATCACGCGGCTTCCTAAAGCAGATCACAATAATACGAAGTTACAAAGCGGATAACATACACACACACCACAATATGCCGACGCAAGTAAAATAAATGTTTCTATGGAACGAACACTAACGCACGTGTACATATGTGTGTGTGTGAACCCTACACATACACACACAAATACACAAATATAGTCAAGTATCTAATAAAATGAAATCAGCTCTTCAACAAAAAGTACTGCTGCCAGCTGAAAGCCTAAAATTGGTGAAAAAAATAATAATTTTGTTACGTTAGACGAGAGAGAGAGAGAAAGTGTGAGAGCGCATAAAATTAGCGTGCCACATTTTCCATACTTTTATTTAAATGCAGAGCATAAAAGTGTATACTAGCAACATCAATTTGGCGTAAATTTCCCAGTTTTTTAGTCTAGTCTAGTTTTATGAAAATTTGTTTTTAACGCTCTCTAGCAACAGTACTACTCAACGTATTTGTCGAGGATATGCGAGCGTAAAGAATTTTCTTCTGTGGAAGTATTTCATAGTTATGCAAACACACGCACACAACAAACAAACCGATATTATTTCATATAATTTTCCTAGATTACTAGTTAATTAGGTCTTGTTGTTATACTACATATTCATTAGATTGTTTGTAGGTGTATGTGCATAAACAGCGGTATAGGCAAATTCGTGGAAATCAAGTTTAATTATATTCACTATATTTAGTTGCCTTTTAAAAAAATCAAACTTGCGAAGGTGTGCTCAACATACTGGTTTTCAAGTTACATAGAAATAAAATGGTTCAGGAATCGTATTTTCCATTTCATTCGAAATTCTAGGAATGCCACTAATTACTATATGCATATATTCACAAGAGTGGGAGAAATTAAAAATGTTTAAATTAGAAATTGATATATTTTCAAATTCATGCAGAAATATGTTGAAAATTCAACAGTTTGAGGCTTTAACTATGTGTTACATTGCAAACTAATTTTTGGTTTTAATAATAAATGTAATCTAATTTTATTTTCTACATCAAATTTCATTTAACTTAGTTAATTTCATTTTCATTTTTATTTTTATTTTTATATTTTTATACATTTTAATTTCAATTCAATTTAATTTTCATTTTGTTTCTGATTTTGCTTTTAGCTTAATCTTAATTTTAATTTATTTTTATTTCAAATATATTTATTTATTTATCTTGCAATTAAATTATTTTTAAATTATTATATAATTAAATTTAGAATTTAGTTCCATTTTAATTTAATTGCAACTTTCAGATTAATTTTAATTTCAATTTTATCTTCATTTTTAAAATTTAATTTAATCTTAATTTCAATTTTAATTTTAATTTCAATCTTATCTTCATTTTTAAATTTAATTTAATTTTAGTTTTAATTTTAATTTTAATTTTAGTTTAATTTTAATTTTAATTTTAATTTTAATTTTAAATTTTAATTTAATTTAATTTAAATTTAATTTTAATTTTAATTTTAATTTTAATTTTAATTTAATTTAATTTTATATTTTAATTTTAATTTTAATTTTAATTTTAGTTTTAATTTTAATTTAATTTTAATTTTATATTAATTTTAATTTTAATTTAATTTAATTTTAATTTAATTTTTAATTTTAATTTTAATTTAATTTAATTTTAATTTTAATTTAATTTAATTTAATTAATTTTAATTTTTAATTTTGATTATAATTTAAAAATTAATTTTAATTATAATTAATTTTATATTTATTTGATTTATAAATGTATTGTTTAATTCAATTTAATTTTCTTTGCATTTGTTTTGATTTTAATTTTAACTTAATGGTTTTTGAAATGTTAATTGTAATTTTAACGTTTTTTTATTTTTATTTCAATATATGTTATATATTTATTTTTTTGCATTAACTTTTTTTAATTGTGTTAATTTTCTTTAATTATAATTTAATTTAATTAGAATGTAAAGTTTAATTTTAATTTCATTTTAGTTTCAATTGGCAATTTTAATATCAATTTTAATTTTAATTTAATTAAACTTGAATTTTAGTTTTATATTTTGTTTATTTTTAGTATTAAATTAATTTAATTTTTATATTTTTCTAATTTCCAGTTCTTTTCATTGTACAATTTTCTTGTAAATTTTAATTTTACTTTTAATGCAATTTTCTATTGATTTCAACTTAAATTATAATCGTAATTTTAATTTTAGTTTTAACTTAATTTTAATTAAATTTTTTTGTTTTTTTTTAATTTAACTCATTTGAAATTATTTTAGTTTATTTTAATTTTAATTAATTTGCGTGTGTTTTTTACAAAAATATTTTTTTTAACTTAGTTTTACATATACTAAACTTTAATTATAATTCCACTTGCATAAAATATTTATTTAATAATAATATAATAAATTTTTTAATTATTAATTTTAAAAGTTCAACATCTAAGTAAATCAGATAAATATAAAAAATAAATTATTTAAAAACATGTTTTATTGCAAACATCTAAAAGATTTGTGATGGCTATGAAAAATTCTTTCCATATAAATAAATATTTTTTAATATAATATTTTAATGTAGATTTTTAAAAATTATTTTTAATTTTTTCTAAATAACAATTTATTTAAAATTTATTAAAACCTGTGAAAAAAGAATAGAAATAAAATTTTATAAAAAGTCAAATTGGGCGCCATAAAAACTGCTGAAAAACAACCATGAATAAGAACATGCTTTCGTACTGACAGTAAGACTTTGTCCTTCTGTAGGCTCTGAGAGCATTCAGTAATATCTCCCATTATTCCATAAAAAAATTGACTGTCGCATCTGCTTGCAACTAGGATGCCTATAAGATCCTTTGCTATAAAAATTTAAACAAACGCGATGCGCTCTGTTTCTGCTTTACGCTCACTTTCTGCCATTGCGCGTCTCTAGCATTAATGTTAACGCTCTTTGTTTGGGTTTATTCGCATAGTGCCGTTTCAGACAGGGATGCAAAAGAGTCTGATGTTTTCAATTTTCTTTGGTGTCGCTCTGGGCATTCACACGGTCAAAAGAGTCAACAACTCAGTCTAGTTTTTCTGCATTCCTTTTCACAAAATGTTCGTAAATATTTGTGCGGTTCGACTGCGCAACACCGCGCAACACTGCATGCTGCGTATTTCATTTGTATGTTGAGATGATGGTCACACATTTTGCTTGCAATGAATTACCATGAATATGGTAGAACAATATGCCATAATACAAGTACCTACCCGCTAAATAGTTTCAAAAATACTAAAACGAATTCCCTAATCCACAAGAAATGTATTGAATATCCGCTATTAATATTTTCAAGGCCAAATTATAATAGAAATTTCCTAATCTTTAAGTATTAAAACTCATAATTCTTTACTCCATATTAAATTCATAATTTCTTTACTCCATAATCTATATCTTAATTTTCTCCTTATTTACAATTTGTCATAATATTTCTATTATTCTATGCATACATTTGCATATTACATACAAAATAATAACAGAACTCAAATTTGCGATCAATTCATTTGAAACCCGAGCGCTCTTAACCATTCAAAGTTTGAAAGTGAAAAGAATGCTAAAAGGGTAGCAGACGAGCTATTACGAACAAGAACCAAAGCGTGCCACCCGAACACGAGTGGCACGGTCCCTTCGTCTTTCCTCGTCGTCCCCTCGCCCACATTAAACTGGTATGAGACTCTTTTGCGTCCCTGTCTGAAACGGCACATAGTTGACTCTCACGACCAGCAACTCAACTCCAATAGGCATACAGCCCACGGGTATGCCAGCTATGCAATGCCGTGACGAGCGGTGAAACATAAACCATACACACAACTCTGCTACCGCTCTTCGGCATAGAACAATACGCTGGCACTCAGTAACTTTGTGTCTCTACTACTTTGTACTATAAAAGGTTGCCTCAGTGCGTCGAGCAGTTCAGTCTTCGATTAGAATGCCAATGTGCAGGACACGTAAACGTTAGATAAGTGTTGTTGAAACGAACGCGCAGAGCAAAAGCAACATTATTCGCACATATAAAATACAATTGGAATACAGTGAAGAGCAAGCACGTTGCAGAAGAAGAAGCATAAAATAAGTTAAGAAAATTACAAAATAAGCAAAATAAGTGCGTGAATTTTATTTAGTTCAATGAAAATATTCGAAATATTCACATGCAACTAAATGATATTTGTGTGCAACTGACAAAATTTTACGGGCGCGTCTTTACTTAACAACAAATTCCAACAAAAAAAATAGCATACTTCACGTGATAAACGCACAGCAGCCGTCAAAATAGCCGAGCAGCCGAAGTGTGTGTTGCCTATTATTTGGTATCCACAAATTGGAACTCTCATAATTGCCACGCCGCGAGTGAACAACACTTGCAACACAAATGAAAATTTATTAGCATTTAATTTGATTTGATTAAATGTGTATACTTAACAGTGTGGCAGTGGCGGAAAGCCACTGAAACGAACACAATTGATTGGCAGCGGACGAGTGTATATATTTCCGGAAAAAAGTATACACATGCCTTGTGGCAAGTGCGGCGCGTATAAATTGTATGTGTTTTTGTGCAAATTTTACGAACTAAACGAACGCTGTTGTATGCCGAAAATAGCAAAATAACGGTCAAAGCACTAAAATATACGCATACAGGCAAAGCAAGTACGAAATACGAAGGAGCAAACGACGAAGTCTAAGCATTTTGCTGTGTGTTGCACGGTTTTGTACTGGCTGTTTGGTGCTTTTGTGGGCGAATAAACGAGCGAGTGGCAAAGCCAAAATTAAAGTCGAAAAATACTTCGTGAAATATCAAGCGAAAAACGCAAGGATTTGTGGCAAACGAACTTTAATGAAACGATAAGCTGAGTGAAACTTGCGTAGGAATTTAATAAAATTTATAAAGTTGTATGTAAAAAAATTGCAAAATTACAACCAAAAATATAAATAAGTCAATTTAAGCTAAAAGGCAGAAAATTTTTAATGAATGACTGTTTAAAAAATTTACAAAAAAAAAAAAACAATAAAAAAATTAAATATATAGAAATTATTATAAATTTAAAGAATTGAAAAATAAATTAAAGTAAACATAAAGCATTACAAAAAGCTTGCAATAAATACATAAAACCAACAAAAAAAATAAACAAATTTCAACACTTCAAACGGCATGTTGCACGTATGTGTTGCAAGCCATCTTGCACATATGCTTAAGTAACGTTTATTAAAATAAAAACAATGCAAATTGCCGCCAATAAGCGGATATTAATTATTAAAAAACATTAACTTTACAAAATGTTGTGGCAAGTGGCGCATTATGTGTGCAACTAAATGTGTATAGTAAAAGTAATTAAACGCACAACAATGCGCAAAACAACAATTAAAACTATAACTGCAAGCATTTGAGGCCATAAAATAAAAAATAGCAAATAAGCGCTTAAACCACATTTTACACACACCAACACAACTACTTGCAACATCCTATTAATTTTTAATTGCACTGCACTTTTTAATTAAAATATTTTACAATGGCCAACTACTATTTACAAAAACAACAAAGTACACAAAAATTCTACCAATATGCAACGCTAGTCATCTTGCTGCTAACGCTCATAGCTGGCGGCAATATGCAGCAACAACAGCAGTTGATGCAACAAGCGCCTAGCTTGCAGCAACAGCAGCAACAACAGCAACAGCAGCAGCATGCTACAAACACAAAACAGCAGTCACAGCAAGCGCAGCAGCATCAGCAACACTCGAACGCCATTATGGGCGAAGCGGGCGTAACCAACTCACAATTGCCACAACCGCCTACAGCGACACATTATGGCGGCGCCAATCTGCAGCCGGGCATGGCAGGCGGCATGCTTGCCGGGACAGCAGCGCAGGATCCGCGCTATGATGCGCCCGATGATTGCCATTTTTTGCCCGCCGCTGGACCAGATAATCCAGAGATAGCGCTCACATGCAATCTGCGTACGGTCAATAGCGAATTTGATACGACCAATTTTAGTGTGATACCCGCCGAACATACGGTGGCGTTGCATGTCTTGTGCAACGATGAAATCATGGCGAAGAGCTCGCTGGAGCCGCATTGCTTTGCGCATTTGGTGCGCCTGCAGGAGCTCTCCATCCAATACTGCAAGTTGGCCAAGTTCAATCGACATGTGCTCGAGGGTTTGACACAGTTACGCAATCTTACAGTGCGCACAAATAATATACTCTGGCCTACGATCAATTTCGATATTGAAGCCGATGCTTTTGCGGTGGCTAAGAATTTGGAACGTTTGGACTTGTCATCGAATAATATTTGGTCCTTGCCCGATAATATATTTTGTGCACTGAGCGGCTTGTCATCGCTGAATATGAGCGAGAATCGTTTGCAGGATGTGAATGAGTTGGGTTTTCGTGAGCGAACACATGAACAGGCGACTAATACAGAACATTCTACTGCAGCAACACCCGAAGTGTCCACAAGGCGTCAGCAAACTGGAAATAGCGCTAATAACACCAGCTGCAATTTAGATTTAGAGATACTAGATGTATCGTACAATCATTTTGTACTGTTGCCCGCTAACGGTTTTGCCACGCTACGCCGTTTACGTGTGCTGCAAGTGAACAACAACGAGATTTCCATGATCGCGGATAAGGCGTTGAGTGGTCTCAAGAATTTGCAAATACTCAATCTTAGTTCGAATAAAATTGTTGCTTTACCATCCGAACTCTTCATCGAGCAAGCTGGCACAATACAGGAGGTATACTTGCAAAACAACTCGATTAGTGTGCTCTCACCGAAACTATTCTCCAATCTCGATCAATTGCAAGCGCTCGATCTGTCGCATAATCAGATCACATCAACATGGATCGATCGCAGCACATTTGTTGGTCTTATACGACTGGTATTACTCAATTTGGCGCACAATAAACTCACCAAACTCGAACCGGAAATCTTCACTGATCTCTATACATTACAGATCTTGAATCTGCGTCACAATCAGCTGGAAAATATCGCAGCCGATACCTTTGCGCCCATGAATAATCTACACACACTACTGCTCTCACATAATCGTCTCAAATACTTGGATGCTTATGCACTCAATGGGCTCTATGTGTTGTCACTACTTTCCTTGGACAATAATGCTTTGATTGGCGTGCATCCTGAAGCCTTCCGCAATTGTAGCTCTCTACAGGATCTTAATTTGAACGGCAATCAGTTGAAGACAGTACCTTTAGCATTGAGAAATATGCGTTTACTACGCACGGTGGATCTTGGTGAGAATATGATTACTGTGCTGGAGGATAACGCTTTCAAGGGTTTGGGTAATCTCTACGGACTGCGGTTAATAGGCAACTTTTTGGAGAATATAACAATGAATGCCTTCAAAGATCTACCGAGCTTGCAAATACTCAACCTTGCACGTAATCGCATTGGTGTAGTGGAGCCTGGCGCTTTTGAAATGACCTCGAGCATACAAGCGATACGATTGGATGGTAATGACTTAAGCGAGATCAACGGTTTGTTCAGCAATATGCCTTCATTACTTTGGCTAAATATCTCCGATAATCGTTTGGAGCACTTTGATTACGCGCACGTGCCAAACACGTTGCAATGGCTGGATCTGCATAAGAACCGTTTGGGTGAGCTCTCCAATCGCTTCAGCCTGGATACGCAAATACGTTTGCAGACTCTGGATGCGAGCTTCAATCAAATTCAACGCATTTCGCCCTCCTCCATACCGAACTCTATCGAACTGCTTTTCCTCAACGACAATCTCATACACATCGTGGATCCGGACACTTTCATGCATAAGTCCAATCTGACGCGCGTCGATCTCTATGCCAATCAGATTAGCACGCTGGATATCAAGTCGTTACGCATACTGCCCGTACATGAGCTGCGCTCTTTGCCTGAGTTCTACATTGGCGGCAATCCCTTCACCTGCGACTGCAATATCGATTGGCTGCAAAAGATCAATCACATTAAATCGCGGCAGTATCCACGTATTATGGACTTGGAGACCATATACTGCAAGCTGCTGAACAATCGTGAACGCGCCTACATACCACTCATCGATGCGGAACCCAAGCATTTTTTATGCACTTACAAGACGCATTGCTTTGCGGTCTGTCATTGCTGTGAGTTCGACGCTTGCGACTGTGAGATGACCTGTCCTACAAATTGTACTTGCTTCCATGATCAAACTTGGTCGACGAATATTGTAGAATGCTCCGGCGCTGGCTACACGCAAATGCCACGTAAGGTGCCCATGGACACCACTGAGTTGTACATTGATGGCAACAACTTTGCCGAACTTCCAGGTCACACTTTCCTGGGACGCAAAAATCTCGCTGTACTGTTTGTTAACAACTCAAATGTACAGTTTCTGCATAATACAACCTTCAGTGGTCTCCGCAGGCTATTGGTGCTGCATCTCGAAGACAATCACATCGCTGAGGTGCGTGGCGATGAGTTCAGCAATCTGGAGAACCTACGTGAACTCTATCTACAGAATAACCGCATAGCGAATGTCGGCAACGGCAGTTTTCAGGCTTTGCGTAAGTTGGAGGTGCTACGTTTGGACGGCAATCGGCTGGTGCATTTTGAGGTCTGGCAGTTGGCACTTAATCCTTACTTAGTTGAGATTGGGCTTGCAGACAATCAGTGGAGTTGCGAGTGCAGCTACTTGATGCGCTTCCGCACCTACCTCGCACAGACGGCCGAGAAGATTGTCGATGCAGCACGCGTCTCCTGTGTCTACAACAATGCCACAAGCGTGCTGCGCGAAAAAAACGGCACGAAGTGCACGCTACGTGGGGATGAGGTTACCACATATGCACATGCTAGTGAAATTGAACATCTACTGCCACTGCTGTTAATCGCCACATGTGCCTTTGTCGGCTTCTTCGTGCTCATCTTGGGCATCTTTTGCTATCGCCATGAGCTCAAGCTGTGGGCACATACAAATTGTCTGCTCAACATGTGTTATGCAGGCCGCAATGCGCACGGTTTCGTCGAGTCGCTGGACAAGGATCGTCTGTGTGATGCATACTTTGCCTATAGCTTACAGGATGAGCACTTCGTTAATCAAATATTGGCACAGACGCTGGAACATGACATTGGCTATCGCTTGTGTTTGCATTATCGTGACGTGAATATCAATGCGTATGTAACGGATGCCATCATCGAAGCCGCTGAGAGCGCCAAGCAGTTTGTGGTCGTGTTATCGAAGAATTTTCTCTACAACGAATGGACACGTTTCGAATATAAATCAGCATTGCATGAAATGGTGAAGCGTCGCAAACGTTTGGTCTTCATATTGTATGGTGACTTGCCGCAACGCGACATCGATATGGATATGCGTCATTACTTGCGTACGAGCACCTGTTTGGAATGGGATGATAAGAAATTCTGGCAGAAGCTACGCATCGCACTGCCGCACATACGCAAGCGACCAATGACCGCCAATTGTCTGGCAAGCCGATCGGCCGTGAACATTTACGCTTCAGCGCACGAATACCAGCCCGCAGGCGCTAATAGTACCGTTGGTGGTGGCGTTGGTCTGCCAAATGGACACCTCAGCAGTGCAGGCATCGGCGTTGATAAGGCGCACTACGCCGACTGCAACAACTATGCGACCATTAATGATTGTGGCGTTGGCGCGCGCGGTTATGCACCAATACCCACCGCCGCAGCTGCCTGCAAATTCAATACGCTCAACGAACTCTCGCACAAAATGCATAAAAATGATTTGCTGAACAACATTGGCGGCGCCGGCAGCGGCATGTGTGGTATTGGGCTGGGTGGTGGCGCCAAAACGCTCGATCATCATCACCATCTCCGCGGGCATCAGCAGCATGAGTACGCGGTGCCCGCATATTTGGGCGCGCTGAGTAACGGACATGTGGGCGGTGGCGGCAACGCGCCTACCTACGATAGCGTCGACTACGCCAAGCAACAGCAAAAGCTGAGCGCTAGCAACAATTGCGACAACTGCACCGTAGGCACACAGAAACGCGTCACTAAAGGTGGTCTACATCCCAGCTTCTCATCAAATTTCACAGCGCCGCCTAACGGCACAATCACTGGCGCTTGCTACAACAGCTACAACTGTAAGAAACCATGTAATTGTGGTGCGCGCAAGCACGCGTCTGCCGCTAGTGATGACGGCATCAGCTGTCGCTGTGGCACAGCGAGCAGTGGCGTGGCAAAGGAGCTGCCTACAGCAACCGGGGCGCCTACGCCAGCACTGGCTGCGTCTGCAACTACATGCAGCAGCAATAGCAGCAACAACAGCGATCGTAGCAGCAGTGTCACCAACAGCAGCAACAATAGCACCAGCTCAGCGGGTAGCGCCAATCGTCAACCAACCGAGCAGCTGGCACACTATGAATCCAGTTTATCGCTGAACGAGAGCGCGGCGCTGAATGGGCCACTGTGGGCGTAACAACAACTGGATTTGGGTGGCGGCATTGCGGGCGGTAAGACGCGCTTGGCAGTCTGCTTGAATGTGTAAGCGCGACATGAACCAATTGCCTAGCAAACGCAATGGAAATTTGTATGTAGTTACTTTTAAGTGTGTGTATGTGTGTGCAAGTGCTTAAATATATGCGTGTGTGTGTGTTAGTTTAAAAAATATGTAGAGCGCGTCAAAGCCTCAGAGACAGACTGTGCAACCAGTGAATTTAATTAAATGCCTGCATGCACACACATACACATATGAAGGTGTGTATGTGCGCATATGCGTATGCAGGCAGTTACGCAACTAGTAGTTCTTGTATGTAGGCAGTGAATGTGAATTGTTGGGGCCACTTGCTGTAGCACGCTTAGGCAGTGGCGTGCACTGAAACGACTCTTTACAAGTATGATACTCTGTAAAAAGTAAAATTCCAAAAGCAAAACTAACGAACTTAAACCACAACAAAAAAAGAAATAACAAAAACAAAACAAAAGCAACAAACAAACTACGTAAAACCGCTAACTAGTTATAGTTACTTAAATGATAATTATTATATTATACTTAAATTATTACTTAACGTCTAAGCACTTAGCAAAGCGAGGCAAGCAAACTGAACAAAAAATTAAATAAATAAATAAAATAAAACAAAATAAATGATTTTCACTAGCATTAGTATTTACCATATAGCGGATAATAAGTGTGCTTGTGTGTATGCGATCGTGTTTATTGTATATGTATGTATATATAAATTTAAAAATATTTGATTTCTTTTTGGACTTCAAACTAGCAAAACGATAATGTTTGAAAATTTTAATATAAAAAAATTAAAATTGTTAAATAGACTGATAAAGTTAGTTATTACGTTTAAGTTTCTTATAAATATTAATTATTAAACAAAAATAACAAAAACAAAGACAATTAAAAAATTTTAAACTAAGTGCAAAATACAAAATAAAGTTGAGTATCTATTATTGGCGCTTCAAGAAATTTAAAACTATTGTTTTTTCATTTCATTTGGCAAAATTTTTAGGGAAGCGATATTTTGACGCTGAACAAACCAACTTTTTATGTTGTAGGTAATTTAAATAATAGAGGAAGAAAGGAAGGAAGTGTAAAATATTTTCTTTTTTTTTGCAAATCACAATTTAAGAAGTATTCGCAAGGAGGAAGTGTATTTTTATTGCACAAAAGCGTTTCAATCCTGTTTTATTCTTTAATTTTTTTATATATAAAAATTGTACAAAAACTTTCACAAAAGTGTACAAGAAATAGCCAAAATGTGTATAGATTAGGCAACATGATGCAACAGCATTTTTTTTTGGCTTAATGTGAGCCTTATAAACAGCGCCTAAAGGTAGGCAGCATTAAGTGTAATTGCGTACCTTTCGGTTTAAAACAACTTAAGAGTAGTTTCTTTGAAGAAAATAATTCAAAAAAGAGAAATATTGTTTAAATTTTTTTGAATAACTCTCCAGTTATTTGAAATAATATAGATCGTTGATCAAATACCTTTAAATGTAGACTTTTCTCCCAAGTAAAATCCAATTTACGTTACAAAAAACTTGTATCGGATCACCATTTTATATTTACGCCACGTAACTCATTCTTTAAAAATTTGTAACCTTAAAGTATCTAGTTGAAGCCCTATCTCATTCTATAAAAATTTATAACATTTCAAAAGCTGCGAGACTTGCTCGGTCCTAGTTCGATTTTCCTACTGAAAACTATTTTTAAGTGCACTTAATTAAAATTTTTTACTATTGATTGATTTTATTTTTTTGATAATATTCATTTATTTTAATAATTTTAATAACTTATGTTTTTAATGCTACAAATTGCTACCACTAGGCATGATTATCCAATATTAGTTAACGATCTGCTATTAGCTTAAAAATATGGTTTCATGGCCACAATCTTCCAATGTTTTCTAATTTACTAAAACGTTATTGAAATTTGAGAACATTTACACAATTATTGCTTCGCGTTGCACTAATTTATTTGAATATTTATGTATATTTTTTTTAAAAGGGTTTAATTAAGTTTCAGGATTCTTAACCAAATTAAGGCAAATTTAAACTTACTTCCGTTTGCCCATATACATTTTTTTGTGATAATTGAAGATTTTAGGACTAAATCTATATCTGAATTTGATATAAGTCTACCGAAAGCTACAGTATTTTTAATACCAGGTTGTGATTTTTTTCGCTTAGCATACTTTTGAGCGTTTAATAACTTCAATAAGTACTTATTACTTCATTTTGAGGTTAAAAGACTTTCTCACTAAGATAAAATGGTATTCGAAGTGTTAGAAATATAAAACTACTTTCAAAAAAATTGTTAATATAGTTAGCGTAGCATACTTTTAGGCGAAAAACCAGTTAAATCATAAAATGTTCATTTTTCGTTTTCCCTTGCATTCAATATCAGAAATTAGGAATTATTGTGCTCATTTTGTTTTTTACCCATCCCACTTATCTATGTTTATACCATTTGCACTCACTTTTCTTGCCTTCAACTTATCAGATTTCACAAAGATTGAGTAAAAAAAAAATTCGCAACGCATTTCAGCCTTCATTTTACAATACTACATAGAATAAAAACCTTTATTACCATTACAAATATGCTAAGAATTTACAAAATCAGGTTGCAGAAGTTCACTAACCTGTACCATTGCATACAAACAGGCGCTTATTTGTATGGAACTTTAAATACCTAATAGTATTGTAGTACAATATTCTGCTAGTATTTGCTAGGACTTGTCTATATTATGTGTGCCCAACGAATTAAACTTTTATGATACATTTAATAAGCACTGCTTACATAAGTTTAAAATTTTCACTGTTTGCCGCTGAACTAATTTTCACTTTTTTCCGTCAGTCAACACAAACGCTTTTAAATAATTCATGTGCATTGTCGTAACGTTTTAAATTTTATGCGGTTTATTTATTTTTCGCTTTTGAAAGCACAAATAAATTTTTGCCATAAAAAAGCAAATAAAGTAGGCAAAAAGCTCGCACAATTCTGCACTTGAAAATAATTTAATTAGTTAGCTGCTAGACGAACTGTAAAAAACAAACATGCATGCCACAAAAATGCTGCTAAAAATGTGAGAAAATTGTTTATAAAATGCGCAAATATTGCCATTATAAATAATGTTATTTTTTTTTAGCTAACTGAGAAAGCGCAATTGCTGCGGCTTGCGCACATTTGCATATCTGTGGCCACTACGGCGCATTGCGTTTAAATTTACGAAAAACACTATGAAAAATTATTCTAAAGTTCACATTGTAATAGTTTTTTTTTTTGTATTTGTAGAATTTAAACGAAATATTTTTTATACTGTTCCAGACTATTCACACTGCTGTATTTAGCGACTGCATTTACGAATTATACCAAATATAAAAAGCAATAAATAAATAACAATTGTTGCAAGTAAAAGCAGTTTTTATGAATCTCTTTATTTTTTTTTTTAGTTTAAATTGTTACTATCCTTAAAAGTTAATATCTAAAAAATCATAAGAGTTCTTTATTCTTTTAATAACTAAAAAACGACTGTGTGTTTTATCACGTACTCTTCTTTAGGTATAATATGAGTTTTAAAAGAAATGTTGGGTATAGTATGAACATAATTTCTATAAGCCCAGCGCTAAAAAATCAATCGATGTGAAATCGTATCCAGTTCATCCAATCTCTGTGAAAATTACAACTTCAAAGTCTAGTCCACATTTCATAAAGAATAGATATACAGTATTAAATTATAATGCTATGGTTATACCTGCTACAATATTTTTCAGTAATATAATTATTTTAACCGTGTTAGATCACTATGGTATATATTAAAATAGACGAAAACCCGTGACGATTTCACAACCTATATTATCTCTGTGGATAGTTTCAAGTCAAATGGGGATACACTACTTTTATATATATACTGAGTAATCGATTTTTTGTAGTTTAACATTTCTAACATTTTCTCTTTTCTTCAAAGTCCATGCTATGTTGTCGTAGTGACTAACCTATGTATTTCACAATGTACCAATCCTTTTCTAGGTTAGCAGAAAAGAAAATGGTTTCTGTTTTATTTTGTTGAAAAAAAGCAGTTTATTGTAATATAATAGGTCTCTGGCCCTTTCTCTTCCAGTCGTTAATGAACACTATCATATTTTTGCTATATTTGCGGTGTGTGACTTAGCTAAAATTTTTGCCTGCCTTAATTGTAGGCAACATTTTAAATTATTAAGGGAGGTTTCTACCTTTTTGGCACGAAAACCTACTGTTTTTTTATGAATTTTGTTTTTTTTTACCGGAAAATATAATACGAACTTTCACACAGTTAGTTGAAGAAGTTTCTTGAAGCTTCACAAATTTTTTTTTTTTTGGTGATTCAAGCAAAGTGGTGGAAGGGGGGTACCGTACAATGCCGGCAAATTGGCGGTGATTCACGTGTTCAAATGTCAGCAACGCTTTCATTTATGTAGAAACAGATTTTTGCAAAATTCTTTACTTACCTAATTGTAGACAACATTTTCGCTAATATCGCAAAAACTTTTCGCATAAAATTATGACGTTTTCCATTACGAATTGAATTAATTTTTTTTTTATTTTATGCCACAAGCTAAATGTTTTGCTAAAACAAGAGTAGGTGTTCAAATTGAGGTTTTCAAATAGATAAATAAATTGAAAAGTGATAACTTGAGATGAGGCTAAAGTAAAATAACTTCTGCGAAATGAGTAAAAGATAAAACGAAACAAATTTCAAAGCGAATGGAATAATTTTGTTTTTCATTCAACTGGAATTTATTTTGCTTTAATTACTTAAGACTCTAAAGAGACATAAAAATAGATTTTTTCTTACATTTTGCATAAGCCAATATTTTGTGAGAATGTTTACGTATGTAAAAAAAAACTTAATGATTCTTATAAATAATTAAGCAAGTCTGTGAATAGAAAAAGAAAAGCAGTGAGAACGGAAAATAAAATATTCGCAAGCAACGAATTGATAGAAAAGTAACTAAGTACATTTAATAAAATTTTTATTTAATTATACAACTAATACTGAACAAGACATTTAATAAATTTTTCTACAACAAATTTTGTGTGCGAAATATTTTTGTACTGTAAATATGTATATTACTGCTGTATACGGTAGCTTTACAAATGCAATATATTTTATTATTTCAAAAAGACGCTAAGAAGCATTGACACTTGAAAAATATATGTAATTAGTTTGAAAATAAATTTTTATTTTTTCTTATAATACTAAAATATCTAATTTTTAAAGGCTAAAACACAAATACACGCAGTGTTGTATTTTTAATGCAAGAAATCCTAATTATTCGCTTTTTAGTTCCTATTTATAATATGCGCAGTGCAGCAGAGTGAAAAAGAAAGCAAGTGAAGAAATAGCGCAAGAAATGTAGAGCTAAGCATGCGAGCGAGAGAGTGTGAGGACTTATGAAATCGCAAATATATACTGAAATAACTAATAATAGAAATAGCATTAAAATACCAAAGCTCGACTCACTCGACACACTTAAGACATAAGCGAAAATGTGAATTAAATGATACAATACTTATATATACTTACACATAAATATATAAACTTAAGTTGTTTAACTACTAAATAAGTGCGTTTTAAAGTTTTTTTGTTTGTATAAAGTATGAAATTATATTATTACGTACGTATTAATAATAATAAAAGAAGAAAAATTAAAATGAAAATAAATAAATCAAAAAGAGAAAACACTGAATAATTAAAATATGCAATTCGAAAAGAAAAATAAAAAGTAAAATTTATTCAAAATGAACCACTGTGAAAAGTATTGCGAGTACTGCGCTGCAATTTTTTATTGAGTGCTTCGTTGAGGTGGCAAGCGAAAGGCTGGCAGGTAAGAAAGTGAATGGAAGGAAGTATAAAGAAAACCGATTTTTTGTGTGCTATTTAAATAGGAAACTTTGAATAAAATTATGATAAAAATCTTGCGTTGCATAAATAGTTTTTTCCCTATATACAGATTTACTATAAATTCGATACTAGTTATTTTACACACATTCTAATATGTCATTTTCAGTATATGTTGTGTGTTTAACAAGCTGTTGGCAGTTCACTTCATTATGTAATATTAACTTGAAGTCTCAGAGCTCGTGTTGGGAAAAGTGGGATTTATTATCTTAGGGAGATTTCTGTTGATTATTGGTTGAAACAAATGAAATCACATCTAGATGAGTTTGAACTGAGTATAGATCATAAAAATATACTTTTAGGGTATAAACGTTTTGGTAAAATATATTAAACTTGATGAGTGAATAAGGGATATGCAGGTCTGATGTTTTGCTGAAGCTTAGATGAGATCTAAAAATATTATATAGAGAGTTTAGAAGCGATCTATATAAGCTATCTCATATTATATGAGCAGTGAACTCATATTTAAATTTAAAAAATAAAATATTGCCTACAGTATTTGAATAAAGTTATATCAGCTCATGAATGATCGGGTGACTTAACCGGAATCAAAAACGTAGTTCAACAGCAACCTTGGAGCCATTTGTAGAATCATAAAGTATAATGATGTCTTACTTTCACCATAGTTCTTTAATTTTTATCATAAAACAACTAACTCGGTAAAATAAAAATATTTCTAAGGTTAATAATTCAAGATATCTAAAACAGAGTAAACTTCATATATTCACTTTTGGTTAACCTGAATATTTTTTAACTGACGGCGGACATTTTTTAACAAATTTCTTTATTTAGTATTTATATACAATAGATCAAGAGACCAACCCGTTTGTAACTAGTTTAAAACATTGCTGGCTAATTAGTATTTGAGCCGAAATCATAAAAATTAGATAAAATATTACAAAAATGTATTTAAGGGACCACCTAGTGTGACAGCCTAAATAAACGTCGAATTTGAGAATTAAAAAAAAAAAAAAAAACTACTTCAACGATTGTTTTGAGGGTATATTTTAACCTGTTTCAGGAATACACAGTGAGATTTTTGAAAAAAAAATTTTATATATTTTTAATTATACGGCGCTAAAAAAAAGTCCGCCACTGCTGCAGTGATTCCATCCTTCTCTGTTGATAAAACCTAAAAATAAAAAATTCTCATTAAACTAGCAGATATTCTCCATACAATGACCGACAATAACAAAAATTGACAAAATGTTGGCGTTTTAAAAAAAATGGGTTTTGTTCCAAACTTTGGTTTGAAAATTAAACCGGATTGAACCGGATCGGCTAAACTTTAAATGACTGTAACTCAAAAACTATTTGAGATATCGACTTAAAATTAGAATATGTTATTTCTAAAATAGTAAACTAACGAAATATTTAAAAAAATTTACACTAGGTGTGCCCCTCAATTCGAATTATTGATTAACAGCACCATCTAGCGTAATCCTTAAAAGACTCAAACCAAACAAAAAAAAATAATAATTTTTTCGTATAAAATGTTTCACTTTTTCTTCTGAACTCAGCCATAGACAGCCTTTAAATTAGGCAACGTTGAAATTAAGTTGTGAGGACGAAACTAGAAAAATTGCATTTTTAAATTTTTTCTCATAAAATTTTTTTAATTTTCAAACTTTAATTTAAGCTACTGAGTAAGGATGCATAATATTTTCACTGCGAGACGTGTCTGACGCTAAAATTATACATGATTTTAAAATAATATAAGCTGCACTTGCATATATAAAGCTCTTCTTACCTCAAATTTAAATATAATAGACCAAAGCAAACAAAGTACGCGGCAAATAAAGGTTAAACGCATTTACAAATGGATAATTGCAAATTGATTGAAGGTAACAAATTTGCATTTTTTATTGCTTGCCGCACTCATTTGAATGGCAAGTGTGTAATATGCATTGTACGCATACTTAAACAAATACAAGCGCAACTAATTTGCAACGTACAAACATACTATGCTTACATATGTACATTGGCGCAAGTGTTTGTGCGAAATGCTTGATACTGATAACATAGAAACAAAAACCAAAAAAATTAAATATACGTAAATAAGTGAAAAGCGGAAAATATGTGATTACAACAAGAACAACCACATAAGTCGCCATGATACACACGAAATCAAACAGCTGTGTCGAGTGTGTGCGCAGTTTTTTCCAACGCGAGCTGTTAAATTGGCATTTATATTTCACAATTGCAGTATTTGTGTGTATGTGTGTGTGTGTGTGTGCTATTCGATTGCGAGCACTTTCATGGCGTATGCGGTGGATTTTTTCACACTACACGCGCAGATAACATGATAATGCAGCATACTTGCAGGCGCCGCTTTTGGTTTTGAGAAGAGAAATTGCGAAATGAGAGAAAGAAACGGAAACTAAAATGAACTTACCAATTGCTTTTTAAGTATTTTAATAAAATTTGCGTCATTTAATGCATAAAAGTGGCGCTAGTACACTTTTTTTTACTTGTGAGT